GTGTTCGTGGGTCTACGGACATGGTTTGGATACATTAGCCATACGTACAAGTGTGACGCAGATGGTGTAGAACCTTTTAGGTAGGGGTACGGTGATGATGCACCGGGACCCCCTTTGTTGAGTGCAGCAGCCGCGCTGCCACTCTCTCTTTCTCCTCCTGCTTTCCGAGCACGACAGCGTCCTGGGTACGGGCGTTGTCTCACCGTCTGAAGTTAATACACTACACAAACAAGTCCCGATAAGTACGCGGAGTACGGCCGACAAACAGAACTGCTCGAACGCCTTTTCACGAGCGTCATTGATGGTACGAGTAACCGCGCGCGTGCTGAACACCAAGACACCTGCACATAGAGCGCGGCCAGAATCGAGCGGAAAGTGTGCTGGGACGATCAGCACAACAACACGTTTCCAAAGCAGCCTCGTTCCATCGCACGCAACAAGCGACACGAAGATGTGTTCCGCCACGCCAGTCACTTCTATGCCTGGAGTTTCATTTCCTCTGGACCTCTTCGCTCCGTAGCACGTCGCACTCTCTCGCTCTACCGGCCTACACAGAGTAAATGCTGAACTGTACACTCGTCCTTATGCACATACTTCACAGGGCGCCGAAGCAAAGGAGCTAAGCTGCATTCCACGCTCACCGTCTCTGACCGAACTATGCAAGAATACCATGGGTGGTGCGATTGCTATTATTTTTTTGTACCCCTTATTAAATACTTCAATATTACGTAGGGCTAATTTCCGTCCAATTTATGCAATAGTCTTTTGGCTTTTTGTTGCTGATTTTTTTTTACTTGCTTGGACAGGAACTACGCCAAAAACTTGGAAAAAAAGACCAAAAACATATAAAGGCGATACGAACTCGTTTTAAATCATTTTGATCTAAACCAGTTGTTGCTGCAAAAAAAGCGGTCCCGCCTTTTGAGTGTTTTTTGCAATATTAAATATTTTTTGAAGTCAAACAGGACCAGCGCCCTTTCCTTCTCCTCCTGAGCGCACCTCATGTCGATGGCTCCGAACACGCTGCGAATGGTGTTGTCGTTCCAGCGCTCGCAAAGGTCAGAGTCAGGCCGGCGAAGCAATGGGACGACGTGGTACTACATACATGCCGTACGGCATATACAGACGTGACCTCGACCACAGGAGCACTGACAACCACCGTGAAGCCGCTATGGGCTATGTATGCCCCAGCCCTCTTGAGGTGTCAAAACCATCCGCCGAGCGAATCCAATCGCCGGAGCGTCCTGTTTCCTCGAAGAATGATCGCATCGTACGGCTGACATGTCCATCGTTCGGGAGGGCGGGCCCCAGAATATAATTGATAAGACACGCCGTCCTCCCATCTACTGCAACCTCAAGTCTAGCAAGCCGGAGAGATTTATATTGTGTCCACGATAGGAGCTTCTACACATTTAATACGCACCTGGGAAAGCAGATATCCCCGGTGGAGTTGACTGCCTCGCATAGGCCTCCGACGATGTCATGGAGACGCTCTCCGCCAGTAATGGGCTGGCCGGCAAACATGTGTGGGGTCGTGAGGTGTTCTGCGGTAGTGTCCCTCAGCTCATCGAGCAAAGTGGTGAACCCTGGAGATACCTCAGACAGAGGCACCGCTCCGTCTGCCGGGGATACAGGAACAACATCAGGCGGGACGGTGATTGAGTCACAGAAATGTCCAATGGCCTGGAACGAAAAACGATTGTCGTCCAGTTGGCGATGGTTTGCGGGAACTACAACCAACAACGTATGTAAGACTGCCATTTTACCCTTGCCTTCGCGTGCGCAACGCGCCTTTGCGCCGCAAAACGTCGTAACACTACGCGTGATTTGTTACACCGTCACCTGCTGTTTCCGGGTGGGAGCGGTGCATCGTGTGCACGACCACGCTTTTGAAGACCGCCCAGCCTCTTCCGGATGAGGTTGCGCTCCGTCACGCCTTCGGCGTCTTCGTGCGTCAGGCCGCCGTCCTCGTCGTCGATGACCAGCGCCTCGATCTCCGCAGCTTTCTGTTTCACGTCGCGCATCACGAGGATGAGGTGGCCGAATATGGGCTCATCTTTGGTCTTGCGCCTCGATACCTTTTCAGCAGCCTTGATCATCACCAGCAGTCTTTGCAGGATTGTGCTCTTGTTGGGCAAGCCCAGCCAGTTGAAGAGGACGACATACATGCAAACATAGCAGGAGGAGAAAATGAGCGCGTCGTCCCCTTGTACTGTTCCACTGGTGTTCGCATCTACGGGGAGTGAATGTGATTTGTTTGGTTGATATATTGCCCCAAATGTCGGGTTCAGCCTCTTCACAGCAGCATTCTTCACTGTGCGTCGTTCCCCCGTAGTAGGGCAACCTCCGTCGCCTGTTGGAAAAAAGAACAGAATAGGTCATCCTCAATGTGAGTAATAGCCAGAGGTACATCCTATATGATTCGTCATTTCTTTTATTCTTGCCGTCGGCCGCATACACATTAGTCTATTGCGCATATATATATATGTTGGACGCGGCAGTCGGGCTCAAAAAGGATGAAGGCCAGCCAGGAGTTTTTCCTCCGCCTACCGTCTGCAGTACAATGCATACAGGTCAGAAGTGCCAAGCACATCATGACCTTCGCACCGTTTTCCCAACTCTCATGATCCACTGTCACGCACAGTGGGCCCTTATTGTGTACCATGGGAGGTTTGGGAACATCATGGTGAAATGGGCCATCATGGTGCTGCTCCATGAGAACAATTCAGCTTTCTCAGGCTCCCTCTTCTCTTGCACTTTTACCTCTCTTGTATGTTTGTACCATGAAGCGAAAAAATCAGTCCATGGCGCATGACGAGGTACCACATTTTCCATTTCGGTTTTACAGTTCGTATTGTGTTCACCCCAAGTTTGTTCGTATCGCCTCATTGGGCAAAATGATGAACCGTTGCCAACGTTGAAACCGCACCCACCGGTACGATTGCGGTGTCCGATGGCTATTATGATAGCTGTGAGCGGTGCCAACACAACGCAAGTCTTCTTAGGGCAAACGACGTCCTGTAGAGAGTTTGGCCTGGTGGAACAGGTATGGATTATCTGCTCCACCGGCCTTTCAGGCACTGATCCTGATCGATTATTCGGGTGGCTCAGTTGTGTGTGATAGGAGTGTAGAGTAGCTCGGCCATTACGGGCCGTAGGGGTAGGAAACGTCGTGCAGACGTGTGGAAAAACGTGTTGTATCCGTGTTGCCGTGTTGTATTAATCGGGGGCGTGCTCGTGCTCGTCAAACCATCACGGTATCGAGTCACGCCTTCATGCTTTCTCACACAACGAATCTCTCTGAATCCTCACCAAAAGCCTCTCACAACCAAGGAAAATATGTAGAAAGTTCCTGTTCCTCCGCATCTCATCACTGCAATATTCGTACGTACGTACATAACATCTCAACCATCATACTATGCTACGAGTATATCGAATA